GGCGGAAGCCATTTTACGGAACAATGGATGCGCGTTTACACGGAGTGGCCTTGAGGGATGAAACTGCCGCGGCTAGGTCAAGCGTCGTCTTTCCTCCCTCCCTCCCTCCCCCGGGTGGACACGTCATAATACTTTAAGCCAATTACAGCTAGCAGCAGAGGGGGTAGGGATGCATGGCCAATCACAGGTCTGATACGTCATATGACGTCAGTGATAACGCAACAAAGACACACACTGAGCAACCTTACCGCGCCGCTTGCCCAAGCGGAGGGAGGAGGCAAGGAGCACAGGCAGGCGGGTGGGGCGAATCTAAAAATAGCGTCGCGCCGGACACACTCCGCGTAATGGGGTTCACGTACCGCGTAATTTGAGCACGTGAGGTTCTGGCAAGGCACCGCGTTAACGTGGAAACGCGGAATGCGGGACCGCGTAAAGTGAGGGTTAACTGTATATAAATTTTAGTCATCCCTTATCTTTCTTATGACTTGAGCTCTAATAATGTCAAATATTTTTCTGCTGAACTTGGCTTGCTTTTTTTTTTTTTACTCAAATTCCGTAAGGGTGAAGTTTTTTTAGCCATATCCCGAATTTTTGGTCATACAGTAATTACCAAATTCCGTAAGCGCGAATTTCCATAACGTGAGTTTCTATAAGGCAGGGGATGCCTGTCCTGTACTTACTTACTTTGCCAACAAATATTAGGATAAATTGGATCTCCTGAAAATTCACCTGCCCCAGGCTTATTTCACCTAAAGATTATCAGTAATAACCCCATCAGAAGGGGGGGGGAGGGTTAGGTTAGGTTAGGTTTGCATTAGGGTGGTCAGTTAGGTTTGGTTAGTGTTAGGTTTGTCGTGTATTGTATTAGAATGGTTAATCTTCAAGTAGAACAAGTTGGGGGAGGCAATCTTCAGGTGATCTGTTAAATCTGTGCATAACTGTATTTAGCAAATCAATGAACCCTTTTCCTGAGTGACATCGACTGACTGACTGAAAGAACTTTTTGCTCCAACTTAGCCCTTCCCCAGCACCCTTCCTCCACCCAGAGGTAGGATGTACAGTGTCCAGTAGACCTAAATAGCTGATAATAAATTTTTGGCTATCCAATTGTTAACTTAAACTTTGGAAATAGTGGAGACAATTTTTGCATGGAATCATTTGGAATTAATAGACTTTATTTTTTATAGTAATACTATGGAAGTAAATATTCTTAGTTTGTGTAGGTACTTTTATAGTCAACTTGATTTTTGTATGATATTATTTCAGGAGTAATGTGCATTCTTTCTTCTTTTTTTTTACAAAAACTGATTATCAAATAAATACACTGTAGTGGTTGTAGCAAAGAAATCATTTTGTGAGATGGTATGTAATAAAGCCTGCCTGACACCTGAGATATATGACCTAAGACCTGGTAGTGAGGACAAAAGAGAATCAGGGGTTCAGACTGACACAATACTGATTTTAGAACCTTTTGTGTTGAAGTGTGAATAAGGAAGGTGTTCATGACGTTACAATTGGTCTTAAAATTAGTGACATGCTAACTGAATTTACTTTAAATACGTAGGTGGTGAGGAGATATGTATTTCCCCGGTCCACCTAAAAAATTTTACACGTTTAAGTTAAGGGATTCGGAATTAGCATGAAATTGATTTTTAGATGCATAAACTCACTATAAATGTCTTCTTTACTTACTCAAAATAATTTGGAACCCTTGATAATGACTTTCAGGAAACACGACTAACAAGTCCATGTTGTTTTCCAGGGGCTTGACGTGGTAAGAATGTGAATTTCATGCATGTTGTAAATTGTCTGGAGAAAGCCAAACCATTACTGTTGTTGACCAACACAAAAGAGTTGGCAATAAACCCTTCAATACAGGGAGTAGTAAAGTCCTGGGTGTGCCTTACTGTGAGAAGTGTTGCGAGCATGTTGTGGTGACCTGGTGTTGTTCTGCCATAGGTCTTGCCATTGTCTCAGTAACATCCCTCTTACGGGCTAAAACTGATGAAATAATTCCAACAAACAATTAATAGCCAACTTATCCAGATGAAGACATTTGTGTGTTGCAGCATGGCAGCAATACACCTTTCTTACCAAAATTACTAAAATGCCATAGTAGTGGGATAAAGGTACACAACAGTGCTGCACCACCACAGTAAATGTCGGTGCAAGTAATGGCAGACTTGCATCAGCAGTGCTCATGAGGGTCACCTCAGCTGCATCAGACAGCAAAGTGAACGCTCCTCACACACCACACAGGTGATACATGTCCATACTCATGCCCAAATACGGACATTGTTCAGCGCTTATCTTGCCTGGCGACATGACTTTATGTCGCTGTGTACTAGGCGCCACCCTGACCATCAGACTGTTGACCCCAGTAGTTTGCCCGGACTTATTCGTTAATGGTCGCTCAATATTTTTACACTTGATATGCTGTAGTCTCACGTTCAAGTATCAAGAACAATAGTGAGTATAAGTCGCGGAAAGAAGCTAATAAAAGCCTTAATTTGTTGTTAATTTGTATCAATGGTGAAACTATGAAATGCACCCATTAATAGGAAGTTGCTACAACATAACCAACCTCCTTACTTGAAGGTTAAGGCGAGGATGAATAATTTTCCTGATTATTTGATCAAGTAGTTGTAGATTGTTCAATGTCTTAATGTTTCAGAACTTGTTCAATAATGGCTTATGCATAGTTGTAGGTTATCATGGCAGAGAGCAGCCAGCCCCCACGAGGGCTGGGGCCTCCCCTTGCCACACACATGCTCATCTAGACAACAGCACCTCATTACTCACTGAAGCTTCAAAGTTTATTTTTTCTAAACAACTTGGTTTCAGTCTCGATCATACCATCCACTGTTTATAGCTGCAGAACAATCATGTTAACATTTACTACAATATGTTGACAATACTGGGTCAGAATTCATGTTAACATTTACTACAATATGTTGACAATACTGGGTCAGAATTCATGTTAACATTTACTACAATATGTTGACAATACTGGGTCAGAATTCATGTTAACATTTACTACAATATGTTGACAATACTGGGTCAGAATTCATGTTAACATTTACTACAATATGTTGACAATACTGGGTCAGAATTCATGTTAACTTTGACCTCTAATTGGTGATAAAATAAAGTACCAGTGTAGGTAGACGCTCAGTATAATTTGGAACCCATTTTGAGCATTATTTGTATGCTCTTTCTTATGTCTGCTAATTTGAAACCTTGCTTTATCTCCATTTATGAGAAACAATTTAATGTACAAAGCCTAAAGCTTTGAGAATCCTTGCCCTGGCTGGGTTTGGAAGATCAAGATTCTGTTATTATGGCTCCTTCACTAATGGAGTCAGGGAACATGTGCGCGTCAACTTGAGTGCTAGAGCCTTATCACTAAACTCGTGAAGTAAGATCACAAATATACGTAGAGGTGGATGTTCCCATATAAGCTTTGGGAATACAGAACTGGAATTGATACCATGGTGGGCTGCTCATAATAGTAATTTAGTTGTGTTATTACTTGTTTCCTGTAATGCACTTGTTGACCATATACTGTACATGTTGCTGTGTTGTAGTATATTTAGGATATGTATACTTTTTGAATAAGTGTTATGCACTATTTACTCATTCATGTAGATAAATCACTTTACTGTTCTTGAGCGCTACGTACATAACTTAGAAATTCAGATAAAGTTTATAGATGTACGGTACTGTACAGTATTTTCACTATATTTATCTTGTTTATTAGAGTTAGGTCCAGCTAAACATTGAAAATTTTGGGACCACAGGAAGATTAAGCATCTCAGCTTATTTCATCTGATGTTTAAACACTAACACTAACTTAACCTAACCTACTGTAGTAAAATATGCTGGGAAGACTAATCTTCAGTTATCTTCAATTGATACAAAATTTTTATATCCCAACAAGAAATAATTGTTTCATTGGGTCATCTTATATTTATAATGTGGACCACACTCCTCAACCAATATAATACATATTGTAACCTCAGATTAATATCCCAATAAGGGTAAGAAGATGGACTCTCACCTATGACACTGTTTGGCTACTTCAACGAGCGAGTGAGGGCCAACCTGCACTTGGTAGTGGCCATGTCCCCCATAGGTGACACCTTCAGGACCAGGCTCAGGATGTTCCCCTCCCTCATTAACTGCTGCACTATAGACTGGTAGGTCCTGGTGGGTCTACTGCTTCATGTGTTAGAAGATGTCGTGTTGCCAGGTGTCCCTCACTTGTGTATTGTCAGGTGTCCCTGGTAGCGTAGTGTGTAATGTTGTGGTAGTGTAGTGTATAATATTGTTGTGGTACAATAATGGTTTCTTCTTATAGGATTTTAGAAAGTTAATAAAAAAAAATTTACAGGTTTTTACTTTCAGTGCTATGTGAGAGCTCATTGATATTATCTATAGTGCTAATCCTTTTTATGCAGGGCTTTATAATAATAGTAATACAGTAACAATAAGATTAGTAAGAATTATAATGATAATGTACAGTAATACTGTCATAATAATGCTAATAATAATAATGATAATAATTTCATTAATAACAATACTGTAATAATAATTGGCAATGTGTTTCCAAAGAAAATTTTGCCTTCTTAAAGGGAAAATTTTTACCCCCCAAAATATAATACAGTACTACTATATGTATCAAGTAAATATGCACTAAAATAGTATAATAAATACCTACTTCTCAAATAAAATCATAAATAGAAATAATACTGTAGTACAGTTACCAGCAAGAAACATAATGCTTGTCATGTAATTTCACATCAGATTAATTGCCTTCCTGTTTCTCTTAATGCCACTGCTGCCTCTAGCACTTAATGTCCTCTGGCCAAGCTTAGGAAAACAATGGAAACACATATACAAAAAACATACACAAAAAACACAAACAAATGCCAGGTTGCAGAATGAAATGTACAGTCCTCCAAAAAAAAGGTATTGTTAACCATGGGGTCGATGTGTTTCGAGGACACGTCGCTACCTGGCATTTAATTGCAATTCTCAAAACCCCCTCCCACACCCTCCATCACACGCATTGCTACCGTCGTCGTCTTGCCTGGCGAATCGGGTGTAAATACGCACAATGAAAGCACCGCTAAAATTTTTGTTGTAATAGCTGAAATACTAAGTGCCACGAGGATTTTATATAGGGTATTTATACATCTTAGCACGGTGAGGAAATCGAGTGACTTTTATTTTGTTTCTCTCTCAGATATTGTGTTTGGGACAATTTTTTATACGTTCTGGTCAGTATGGCAACCACAGCTCGTTTTCTATTAGGAAGACAGTAGATCGTTAGTGACTAATATCCTCTGTTTTTGAGTTCCATAACTTCAAAACTCTGTAGAATGCAGTTCTGTTAAATGGCAAATGCCAGTATAATTCTGTAGAGTCACAAGATTATGACCTTTTCTTGTTCAGGTTTACTGCATGGCCTGATGATGCCTTGGAGATGGTGGCCACATCACTGCTGCAGGAAACTAAACTGGAGGCATCATTGTTGGCTCACTGTGTCACTGTCTGCAAGTATTTCCACCACAGCATTGATGACCTTGCCCACAGGTAGTTTCAAGGACATCCACACCTTGCTTATGTTATCATTTTCAGTTTAACTACCAAGGGTCAAAGACTGCTTCGTGTGGATTTCATTTTAGCATTTATCCAGTTGTTTCTCAAGTAGGCAAACCTGAGCAATCTATAGACTGATGTCTGTCTTTTTATACTAGAAATTTGTTTTTAATTATGTAAATACAGTTTACCACAGTCAGAAAACTCTCTTCAATAAAACATCCATGTTTGATTGTTTGTGTTTTAACTTCTGACTGGCCAATGATGATCATGTAGAAAATAATAGTACTGCACAGGCATAGGACCACTTATCTGGCATGCTTGGGAGCTGGGAATGGAGGTGCTGGGATTGGGCAAGTGTGATCGACGTGACCTCTGCATCTTGAGACGCGATTGGTACTAAGGCATTGTGGGTGGTAGCATGTGAAGTTCGCATGTCACCACATGAGACAGGAGAGTTTATCCCATTATTCTGAGTTAGTTTAGTGCATTTTATATTCAAATAGGCCCACTAAATGTCAAAATTTCATATGAGGTGACCTGAAGCTCTAAAGATGCACACCATATGACTTGACTTGAAGCCCAGGGGTTCAAGACATTAATTAACCCATGAGAACCTGGTGGGCTTCCAAGACCTCATTAAAACCATAAGACATACTGTACATGAGACGTTGGTAGCCCTCCAATACCTTAATTAACCAGACATACATGAGACCTTGATGAGTGCTCCTACAGGTTCTATGAGCAGCTGCGGCGGAGGTACTATGTGACATTGTGACACCCACCTCCTACCTGGAGCTCGTGTTCACCTTCAAGCAGCTCCTCCTTAAGAAGCGCTCAGAGATCCTCACACTACGGGACAGGTAAAGCTCAGGAAGCTCATCACCAGCTTTAGTAATGTTATACTGTACATCTATTGATGAATTTTAGTCGATGAGAATTCCCTGACCCAACTTCGATTTTGTTTTTATTTTACTTGTGAAAATCAATAATATTGTGCCCAAGTTATTTTAAATGTATGAATATGCATTCTTAGTGCCAAAAACATTAACCATTTCATCTCTGAAGGTATGTGACAGGTCTGGAGAAACTGAAAGAGGCCAAGCTGTTGATCACTGAACTGCAAGAAGAGCTAAAGCTGCTGCAGCCCTGCCTAGTGGAGACCTCTGCCAACACGGAGGCACTTATGATCAAGATCGAACAAGACACCATCCAAGTGGAGAGGAAACAAGAGGTGTGAAGCTGTTATCTTTCACTTGTCAAACTTACCTGTTAATACTATTAATAATTCTATAACAAAAAGATGTATCTCTAACTCTGTAATAGATGGTACAGTGTGTATGTTGAAGTGCAGAAATGTACTACAGATAATACTCAACCAGGTGCCATAACTACACTACATGTGTGAGTTTGGTTGTGTAGAAAATATGTCGAAGCGAGTTAATTGTTTTTAATGAAATTAGATAGATTGGTTGGTTTAGACAACTAACTTCTTTAAATTAAGAGAAAATATATAAGAAATCAAGTTCAAAGAGCCCTTTATATTTCATGCACTAAAATACATAAAAAATTTATGTGGTTATTGATCATTCAATCTACCTAGCAAATTTAACAGATGTGAAATATATTGTCTTTGACTGTGAACTGTAAGTGTGACCTTGACCTGCTTTCTCCAAAATTAGACTAGATTTCTCATAATCAACAGCAACCTATAGTTCCAAGTTTCATTAACTCTAATAAAGAGTTGTGTAGACAACAGACACATACAGTGGAATGTGACTGTGACCATGGCTTTGAATATATTTACCCCAGCTTTCAATTACCTCTTCCTTTGCCTACACTCAACCCTTGACGATCATTTGGTGAAGAGGATAAAAGAAAAGGAAAAGTAACAGAGACGTGACCGATCGCCCAAGCACCTAACGAGCCAATCAGTGGTGAAGAGGATAAAAAAAAAGACTGTTTCACTAGAGTTCACCAGTCTATTCTTTAGCTTTACTTGCCCAAATTTATTTATTTTCTCTGAGGTAAATAACCTTTTAGCCTGCCAGGTTTCATCGAAGCTACCCTTCCCATTCTTTTATATATTTTGTTCATAGATACAAACACAAGTATAATTCCCCAAACCCAGAAAAACAAACATAAGTGAAACATGGAAGGTTGTTGAAGATACCACAATGAAACCAATGTTGTAGTCACAATTCAGTCAGTGTTTTGTGATCTTGATGTAAAATATTGTCATTGGCAAGGTTCTTGTTACTATCATGAACACCTTGCTAGTTATTGCTGTTTTTGTGTTCGTGTTTTATGTTCCCTTCTAATGTTAACCCTGCCTCTCTTGGTAAAAAAAAAAAGATGAAAGTGATAACATATCTCATTTCTTGGTTGTTGATAACAAATTTGTTCTCAGTTGGTGGCGGCAGACGAGGCGGTGGCCAACAAGAAGTTTGCCGATGCACAGGCCATAAAAGACGACTGTGAAAAGGAGCTCGCCAAGGCAGTATCAGCTCTCAATGCTGCCACAGACGCCCTCAACACCCTCAAACAAGATGACATACGCGTCGTCAAGGCCATGAAGAACCCGCCCTCAGGAGTCAAGCTGGTGAGTATAACCTACCAAATGATGACATTGGTTATGAAGAGTGCTCACCTTAACCTCCACTCTGACTCTACCTAAGTCTCCACTGTTGTTTTACCTAATCTTCCACTCTGACTCTACTGTCCCCAAACCTTCACTTTGCCTTAATATCCTCTAGCTGTTGACCTTAAGTCACTTTGTGCTCCTAACACACCCTGTGATCCTCACACCCTCCTAAAGATATATGAAAAGTTTTGTCCCTGTGTTGTTTTTTGTATTTCGAATCATTAGTGAAACTTTTTGAGAAATACTACATCAGTTGACGCACTCTGCATTAGAAGGGGGTGAAGCTCCAAATTCAAAAAGCTGAGAAAAACACGTTGAAAGTTTTCGAGGTTCAAACAACCATAACTTTTTTTTTAAGCTAGAGGGTTCTTTTTTTATCGTGCAGCTTAATCCCTCTCCTAGCGAACTGTGACAACTGGAAATTAGTACAGTGAATAGTTATTAATTTATTGCGAGTTGAATGAAAATAACCCGTGATGTAGAGTTGTTTGATCTTCAAACCAACAATAATCGCATTTTTCTGCAATTTTTTTTTATTAATATTTGTGGGTTAATACTGTAAAACAAGTTAATGATAACCAAAAACAGCACTCGTTTTACCACCCCCCCCCCCCAAAAATAATAATAAAAACTCATTTGCCTATTAGTATTTATCTTTCCGTCCCTATTATTAGCCAAAGATTTATAATATTGTTAAGTTTAATAGTGTGTAATAATGAGGAAACACCACTACACTCATCCCACCCCCTACCATGAACCCCCCCCCAACGTAATTAACAGACGAATACAAAGGCTTAGAAAGTTTGCATATTCTTTGGTTAAGAGAGTATTCTGATAATAGTATTACAATCTTACTTTGTTTAGTTCCTTCGTTTTATTATCCCTGAATATCGTAGTAACTTGAAGTTACGTAAATCCTGAGGAGTGCGTTTAACTTAAATGGCCTCTTCATAATCAATCATGTACTGATCAAAGTCTTTTTCTGCCCTCTCTAAAAATCGCCACACAGATTCTTCATGAACTAGATCATTGATTTTTGATGCCGGCAACAGTTTAGTTTCATTATAAGATTGAGTTATGGGCTCACTTTCATTCGCATTCGTTGGTTCAGGCACACTTTCATCACTATCAAGGTCAATGCATGCCTCGTCACTGTCCATTTCTACCTCCTCACAGTCTGTATGTTCTTGTTGTGATACATTAGTGTCACTCTGTTACCATTAGACTCACTTTCATCATTTTCATCTTCACTTTCATCATCATTATTGCTGTCAGTGCATGTCACGTAACTCTGTACCGGAACATAGTCTGCAAAAAGGTCTTGTGATGCATAGCAGTCACTTTTTGTATGATGAGTACAGTGAGTTCTGCTATAACGCGTGTTTTGACAACGCGAATTTGCTCGAACGCGATTTATGAATTGAGGAACGATATTTGTAAAACGCGAACTAGTTTGCTCTAACGCGATTCCACTTGAACGGTTGTTGTGGCTTCAGTTCACGTTCGACATCACATGTTCAATTGAGTTATGTGTTTTGTTTGTGAACAATTGCAGAAATAATGTATGTAATATTTGTGTATACAGTATACCTATATATTATAAGTAAATTGTAAAATTTTACATAAAAGAGAAAATCAATTTACATAGCGTTTTACACCCGCGCTCTCTCTACATCACACACAGTGTTTACAGTTCACGTTCGACATCACATATTCAATTGATTTATGTGTTTTGTTTGTGAAGAATTGCAGAAATAATTTATGTAATATTTATGTATACAGTAAACCACTCACAAGGTCCTACAGTACCACTAATTATTTTATACTGAAACTTACGTTTGGTAAGCTGGATTAAAATGAAGATTACCGGTATATTAAAATAATAAAAATGTATTATAAACCAGTCTAACATACCGTAATAAACACAGCTGCTATTATCATCACCCCCTCCCCCATTTGCCAGTGACAAGAAAGGGAAAGTGACCTTGACTGTGACCGCCTGTGGCTATTTTTAGCCGTCCTTGTGTTCGGAGGTGGTCAGTAATGCATATCTGTATATTTACTGATCATAATACTTATCTCTTATAAATAATTCATTTAAAATTTATTTTTTTGCAAAGAATATTCAGTAAATGACTGCATTAATTCTTGAAACTACCTACAGTGGTAAATTTAGGATATAAATAATGAACAGAAGTCACGTCATGGATTCGGAGTTTGGTCCTTAACGATCACCATAAATGTAGCCTCCCTTTTTCGCGAAACACGTATATAAATTAAAGAAAATACTTGCAGTATATTTAATATATTACAGTATATTATATATAAATAAATAAACAAATAAATTCAAATTCCCTTATCATCCTGTGTCATATACAGAAATACTTGAGTCCCTGAGCGAGTACACAAAAAGAAAACGGAGGACTAAGACATCCTGAAGTGGGTAGAGAACGACATCTCTACTGGGGGACTCAAACGTTTCTCATGTTTCGTGGGCGCTCTAGCATAATATGAATATGTAAATTACAATTTACATATATATATATATATATATATATATATATATATATATATATATATATATATATATATATATATATATATATATATATATATATATATATATATATATATCCTCTCTCTGAAAAGAAGCAACTAAACTTCCCGGAAACTCTGCATGTAAACTGTGGGGTATGAGATTGTTTGGTTCACACTCAGGATGGGATGGAGAAAGGAAACTCACAATGTGCTCTCTATATACATGTTGTATTGGATGTACAATGCAGCTTGGTGCTGGGAAGGCAGCATGGTTACAAGCGTGATGTAGAGAGAGCCGGTTGGTGAGGACGCTCAGAGAAGGACAGCTTGTGGGTCGCCATGCTCGCCAGCGGGAGAGAGGACCGCCAGGCAGGCGGAGGAGCGAGGGCCGCCAGGCAGGCGGAGGTGTTGCTGGCTGGTTGGTGTAGGTAGAAAGAGAGGCAGATCACCACGAGGTCAGGTCTTAAATAGCAGGGGTAGGCGTGGCTTAGCAGTTGACCCCCGCTCCGTGGTGTATGGCGGCGCTGGTTGACCTAGACCACGAGGCATACACTGGGGAATTGGTGGGGTCGGCTAGGCAGCGACAAACAGCGTTTGTAGGGGAGAATTCCACTACAGTACTCCCCCTTCCCTCCAGGCGGTGTAGGAGACTTGTTGTCTGCAGAGTTGCTTAGCACATGCGAGGCAGAACGGGCGGTGCATGCCTCATGTGAGACAACGGCGATGGCGTGATGAGCCGGTCGCTGGGGACAACTGTCTAGATACACAATATCTGTGGGAGTAGAGAGGGAGAATAAGGGTGTGTGGAGGCGATGAATGTTGTGCTTCCCTCACGGCAGGTACAGAGTCGTCAGATGCGCCTGCTGGGGTGTGTGGGCCTGGGTCAGGAGCAGGGGCTGCGTCAGCAGAAGCGGATGAGGGCTCGTGACAGCAGCTGGGTCCACGACAGCAGCATGGTGCAGGACATTAGTAGGGAGTACCTGAGGGAGAAAAGAGGGGGTGTGTGGGTCCGCACTCAGGAACAGAGGCCGCATCAGGGGCGGCAGGGGTTACTGCTGGGCCGGGGTCGGCGTCTGAGGCAGGACGGGTGTGCTGGGGTCGGTAGGACGTGGTGCTTGGGGGCAGGAAAAGGAGCTGGTGTCTGCTAGGAGAAACAGTGCTGCTCTCGGGTGTCTAACCTGTGGTGTAGAGACAGTAGTTGTAGAGCCGATGAGAGCTGCTTCTGTGTGGATAAGCCAGTCTTCCATGTTGCTTGAAGACTGGGAGCGTGATCAGTTTCTCCTCCATCCTGTGTGAGTGCGAATCTCCGGGAGTCACCATTTGTGGGGTATGAGATGTTTGGTTCACACTCAGGATGGGATGGAGAAAGGAAACTCACAATGTGCTCTCTATATACATGTTGTATTGGATGTACAATGCAGCTTGGTGCTGGGAAGGCAGTATGGTTACAAGCGTGATGTAGAGAGAGCTGGTTGGTGAGGACGCTCAGAGAAGGACAGCTTGTGGGTCGCCATGCTCGCCAGCGGGAGAGAGCACCGCCAGGCAGGCGGAGGAGCGAGGGCCGCCAGGCAGGCGGAGGTGTTGCTGGCTGGTTGGTGTAGGTAGAAAGTGAGACAGATCACCACGAGGTCAGGTCTTAAATAGCGGGGGTAGGCGTGGCTTAGCAGTTGACCCCCGCTCCGTGGTGTATGGCGGCGCTGGTTGACCTAGACCACGAGGCATACACTGGGGAATTGGTGGGGTCGGCTAGGCAGCGACAAACAGCGTTTGTAGGGGAGAATTCCACTACAAGATCATGGGTTCAAGTCCTGGCAGGGTGAGGTTGTTGATTATACGCTTTATGGGCTAATGAAATTAATATTATATTATATATATATATATATATATATATATATATATATATATATATATATATATATATATATATATATATATATATATATATATATATATATATATATGTAAATTGTAAAAATTTAAATAAGAGAGAAAAACAAAATAAGTAGCGTTTAAAGTGTACTGTACATTGTGGCTTGGCGCGGGGTTATGCAGTGTTTACAGTTCACGTTCGACATCACATGTTCAATTGATTTATGTGTTTTGTTTGTGAAGAATTGCAGAAATAATTTATGTAATATTTATGTATACAGTATACCTGTACAGTATATGTAAAATGTAAAGTTTTAACTAAGAGAGAAAAACAAAATACATAGCGTTTTAGACCCGCGCACACTGTTTACTCCACACTTTGTTTGAAACACGTGAAGTTTTTAAGCGTCCTCAGTGAATTCTGATTACTGTTTCTCCAATTTTGTGACTATGGAAAAGAAGAATATCTCTGGGAAGCACTCTGGTGATCGCATTTCCGGTGGTGATCGTAAAAGAAAGGCTATAACACTTGAAGAAAAGCTTGATGTTTCATGACTCCTCAGCCTCAACATCACCCTTATCCCCCATCAAGTTATATTCATATTTTTTCAAGATAAAGTGTAACATTTACTGTATGATTTCATTATTAGATATGAATGTAACATTTATTTAGACTGTGCTATCCTTTGTGTTAGGCTAACTACGAAATTTTTTTTCGATTTGGAGTAATCTGCTGGACTTGAAGCAGAAGAGGGAGGAGTCGAGGAGGAACGGGGACAGGTGCACATGGGTTATACTCAGGGGGAGGGTAGTGGAAACAAGTGTGCCGACACAGGGCCAGGGGGCAGCAGTGCACCCTCCACCCACTCAACCCCCCACCCGGGAGGCGGCACCAGCTCAGCCTACCGGACAGGAGGGAACGAACGCCGTGTAAACAATGACATTTTTAACCACACCCTGCAAAATACAGTGTACTTAGCAAATGCTGCAGCTTCTGAGAATGTGGGTGGAGCGGGTTTATTACTAAGAGCAGAGACGTTACCGAGAACAAATTCTGGCTTGAATGTCATGTACACTAATACCGACACGTTCCTTGATAAGAGGGAGGAGTTTGAAACACTACTAAGAGTACACCAACCAGATATTGTAGGAGTTGCAGAACTGTTGTACAAGAACAGGAGAATCGACCCAGAGGAATGTGAGTTCAGTATTCCTGGATATGACTCATTTATGAACCTAACTCAAGAATCCTGCAGGAGGGGTGTGGTTATCTACGCTAGGCAAGACCTTAGAGCCAGCCAGGCGAGGGTACAGGGAGAGGATGTTTTTGAAGAGTCCAAGTGGTGTAAAATTAAATTAAAGGGAGGGGACTTACTTATCGTCGGGTGTATCTACAGATCCCCGAACTGTGGCCCACTAAATCAAAGGAACTTAAGAACCTTAATAAACAATGCGGCGATGCTCAACCCCAGCCACCTCATTATCATGGGGGACTTTAACTATGGCGACATCGACTGGAGAAACGAGTCAACCCCGAATGACTTGAATAATCCTGCTACTCTTTTTGTAGAAACTCTGAGAGATAATTTTCTGTTCCAACATGTGAGAGACCCGACACATTACAGAGGGGAACAAACACCCAAGCCACTTGACCTCATCATAACAAACGAGGAGGGTATGGTGGCCAAACTGGAACACCTTGCCCCAGTTGGCACCAGTCACCATACAGTGTTGTCATTCAGATTTAACTGTTACCTAGTTCAAAATAAGGCCAGGCCAAGGTGCAAATATTACAAGGGAAATTACAATGGGATGAGGGAAGAGATGAGGGGTATCAACTGGCCTGACTTATTAAGGTACAAGAACGCAGACACTACGCTGAATATCATAACTAGTAAAATGACCCATTTGATCGATAAATATATACCCAAGACCAAACCCAGTGCTTCTAGGAATACGAGGGGATCCCTACACATGAACCATGCGGCAGTCGACAAAATTAAGAAGAAAACCCAGAAATTCAAGACGTGGGTTGGGTCAAACGATGAGCAAGACAGGAGGATGTATGCAAGAGCCAGAAACCAAGCAAAGAGAGAGTGTAGGAGGGCTGAAAGGAGTTCCAGAGGCTGGTTGCACGCGAGGTCAAGTCAAACCCAAAGGCGTTTTACCGCTATGCAAAGTCGAAATTGAAAACGCGAGTAGGAGTATCAGACCTGAAGCTTGAAGATGGTAGTTATGCAGATTCTGACCAGGATAAAGCTGAGGCATTGAAGAGCTTCTTTTCCTCAGTGTTCACAAGAGAGGATGCAACTAACCTTCCTGCGTTTGAGGACAGACGGTTCGACACAGCACTGACCCACATTGTGTTCACAGAAGAGGGTATTAGAAATAAACTGTCCAGGCTAAAGGTCCATAAGAGTCCTGGACCTGACATGGTGCATCCTAGAGTGCTAAGGGAGCTGTGCAACGAGCTTGCAGAGCCCCTGAAGATTCTGTTTTGTAAATGCCTGGATGAACAAATGGTCCCAGTGAATGGAAAGTGGCTTATGTGAGTCCTATCTTCAAGAAGGGCGATAGGCACTCCACGAACAACTATAGACCGGTGAGCCTGACCAGCATAATATGTAAAGTACTTGAGAGTATTATCAGAGATGCAGCGATGGAACATCTACTACGAAACAACCTTGTAAAAGATTGCCAACACGGTTTTATGCCGGGGCGCTCTTGCTTGACACAATTGCTCAAGGTATTGGATATTTGGACCCATATTCTAGAACGGGGTGGTAATATCGACAATATTTACCTAGATTTTGCCAAGGCTTTCGACAGTGTACCCCACGAAAGGCTGAAAATCAAACTGGAAGGGTACGGAATTCGGGGAAATGTCCTAGCGTGGATAGAAGACTTTCTACATGACCGCAAGCAATGTGTGGTGATTAATGGCACGAAATCGTCATCTGTACCTGTAACAAGTGGGGTACCGCAGGGTAGTGTATTGGGCCCGCTGTTGTTTGTTTGTTTCATAAATGATATGCCTGACGTTGTACACTCCTCCATACAAATGTTTGCCGATGACGCCAAGTTATTTCGGGAAATTAAGAACCAAGCGGACTGTGAAGAGCTGCAGAAGGACCTCTGTGGGCTCCAGGAATGGTCGAAGGAATGGCTGCTGAGATTCAATGTCACGAAGTGTAAGAGGATGCACCTGGGGCGTACCAACGGTAAGGAGGCGTACCATATGTCCCAACGGGATGAAGAAAATGTACTAGTTGAGACTGTGTGTGAGAAGGACCTAGGTGTGTATGTTGACAATGAGCTGAAGTTCTCGGGCCATTGTGAGAAGAAGGTAAATCAGGCAAATAAATTATTGGGTCTTATAAGAAGGTCGTTCAGATATCTAGACGGTCCGTCCCTCGTGACGATCTTCAGGAGTGAAGTGCTTCCCCATCTGGAGTACTGTCACCCCATCTGGTCCCCGAGATATGCTAGGGACTGTCAGTTGGTTGAAAATGTTCAAAGGAGGGCCACCAAACTGGTGCCTGCACTTCGGCATCTCAGCTACCCTGAGAGATTGGAGCGCCTGAACTTGCCTAGCTTATACTACAGACGGGCAAGGGGGGACCTAGTTGAGGTTTATAAGCATCTCAGGGGGCACTACTCAGTTGAGTGTCCTTACTTGGAGCTGGCGGACGCTCGCCCCACAAAGGGTCACAGCTCAAGATTGAAGAAGCTGCAAGTCCAGAAATCCGTGAGGGCAAACTTTTTCGGAGTGAGGGTTGTAAACTCTTGGAACAATCTACCAAAGAGTGTTGTGACGGCACCGAGTGTGAGCTCTTTCAAGAGAAGACTTGACCAACACTGGAGCGGGTTCAGGTACATTCAGGAGCCGGTGCATGCCCAGTATTTGCCAACAGTGCGTGACAGAGACGTGACCGATCGCCCGGGCGGCTAGCGAGCCGACCTTTTGGTGAAGAATATAAAGGAAAAGAGACGTGACCGATCGCCCAAGCGGCTAACAAGCCGATCAGTGGCGAAGAGGATAAAAGTAAAAAGTAAAAGTTCTCCATAAGCCCTGTTATTTCTATTACACGAATTTCTATAACACGATGTTTTACAAGAACACTACTATCGCGTTATAGCAGAACTACCTGTATACCAAAATCACTATCACTATCACCAAGCATTCCTAGGATGTCCACGTGAGCACTGTCATCACTAAACACACGTTCAGGAATAATGTGCTCCTGAACCTATACCAGAAGGCCTGGCCTCACTCAACTCTTGCTCCAATATCGGGCAGATATTGCACAGCATTTTACACACCCGTGGATGAACAACATCATTGTTACGCCGAAAAGTTATCAAAAATAGCCATAGAAAGTATACTGAACCTCCTTATGCTATACAATGCACCAAAACTAACAAGGAGGCAGCATCTGGGCGCGCGGATTGGCCGAGGAGCTGTGACATAGCAAGGGGAAATCCATTGTGATTGGCTACCTCAGGGGTATGGTCCGAGGGAGGCGCGCTGTCATTGGCTCGCGCTCCTCTCGCTCTGAACGGGAAGTTGCCACCTTCTTTGACTGAGCGCACAGCCAGATACGTAGCTCCAGGCCTGAGGCAAAATCACGCCTAATTTTGAAGGACTTTCTACCATATTTCTATTCTAGCTAGAGCGTTACATCCAACGGGTGAAAATAGTGATATCCATCAAAAAACGCATTTTGGCCAGAGTGTCACTTCACCCCCCTCTAATGCTGAGCGCCTCAATTCTAGTGGGTTATGAGAAACATAACATCAATTCTAGTGTGTGATGAGAAACATATTTCTAGTGGGTGATAAGAAACACTACTTCAATTCTAGTGGGTGATGAGAAACATAGTTCTAGTGGGTGATGAGAAACACTACATTAGTTCTAGTGGGTGATGAGAAATACCATCAACAAGGCAGAGTGAAGCCATGTGTCATCTTCATAGACTTCTGTGTAATTTTTATCCTAACCTAACATAACTTTAACCAAACCTAGCATAACGTAACTTAAGATAGCATAGTCTAACTTAAGATGACCTGACCTAACACAACTTAACCCAGCTCAGTAATGCAGTGTTTCTCATCATCCAACTCATGTTTTTCATCACCCAGGTCAGTAAAGTTTCTCATCACCCAGTTCTCTAATGCAATGTTTGTGTTCATGTTTTACTAGAGCTGTAAAAATACCCAAAATAACAATGCTGCACTATACAGTTCAATACTATGCTTTGTCAGGTAATGGAAGCTGTGTGTGTAATGCTGGACCTCAAGCCAGAGAGGAAGCCAGACCCTAATGGCTCAGGAAAAATGATTGAGGACTATTGGGCACCATCTCAGAAGCTGTTGGGGGATATGAAGTTCCTCCAGAACCTGCTGCACTATGACAAAGAAAACATTCCCACAAAGATTATCACTCACGTCCGCAACAAGTAAGTTCAAACATTATTTCCGTGATGTGGTATTCATTAGGTAATTCATCTTTGCCATTAAGTATGACCAAGACAGAGGCTATCAGAGTGGTGTCGAGACAGACAGACCGATATGAATAAACTCATACTATTGAACAAATAAAATGCTGTAAAAAATTATCAATTACTACTGTCTCAGTACTGTACTAACATGTAGCTACCTGATGCTTGCACTCAAGAGTGTGCATGGTTATTCAGGACGGATTACATCTTGGAAAATTTTCTTGTTATACCAGTATATTTTCCTTCACCCAATGAAAATGTAAAATAACAGTTGAAAATCTTGGTTGCTGGAACAGTGCTGTTGAATATGGACGCCTTGAGAATGACACACACAGTAATAACTGTGTAAGTCACACTACCTACTGTCACATTTAGAAATGAGTGTTCTTCCACTTTAACCCTGAAACCTATTATAAACTCACAAAAAGTAAAGGAAATAAATGTTGAGACATTTTAAAATGTACTTATCCATTAATTTACTTATTCATGCATATGTATCTTATGCTCAGGTAAATACATACTATTGTTTCACAAGAAATCACAAAAAATAAAATCCCTCTTTTATCTTTAAAGAAGACTTGAGTGACACATAAAACTGTGTGAGTACTGAAGTGGATGACTTAGGGACTTTCTACTTCCTGCCAGGTTCTACTCTCACCCGGATTTTGACCCAAAGAAGATACGTATGGTATCAATGGCTTGTGAGGGCCTCTGCCGATGGGTGAGGGCCATGGTTGTCTATGATCAAGTCATAAAGATTGTCGCCCCCAAGAAACAAGCTTTGGAGGCTGCCAACCATGAACTGGCCCCCCAGAATGAAAGGCTAGAGGAAAAGAGGAAGGAACTCAGAGAGGTAATGTGTGAACCGAGAAAGATGTGTGAAATAAAAGACATTGCATGTAGAACCATTTCAACATATAGAATTACTGTATGGTAGACTTAGTCATCATTATATTATGAAGACTACTATTCCTTCTACAGTATATGTTCATCTACCTGTAATATGTGCATGAGTCTGCTCAGGTGTTGTGAAACAAAAGTTTTTTAGTTAACCCTTTACTTGTCATATTCCT